TTGATTCCCCCCACTACATGTCAATTACCCTGATAGGGTATTTGTAACGGTAGGTTCACAGAGTCAGGGAACCTAAACCTTAACTTGGGTTCAGTACGCTCCACTTCTCCTTCTCGTTAATCGTATTGGACAACAAGGATTTAATCCACTCAATCCCTGCTCCTAGTCCTTCCAGCCTTCTCCTCTCTAGTCAACCCCTCCTCCCTGTCCTTCCATCCTTCTATTCTCTACTCAACCCCTACTCCTTGTCCTTCCATCCTTCTCCTATCTACTCAACCCCTAAGGACAACAAGGATTTAATCCACTCAATCCCTGCTCCTAGTCCTTCCAGCCTTCTCCTCTCTAGTCAACCCCTCCTCCCTGTCCTTCCATCCTTCTCCTATCTACTCAACCCCTAATCCTTGTCCTTCCATCCTTCTCCTCTCTACTCAACCCCTACTCCTTGTCCTTCCATCCTTCTCCTATCTACTCAACCCCTACTCCTTGTCCTTCCATCCTTCTCCTATCTACTCAACCCCTGCTCCTTGTCCTTCCATCCTTCTCCTATCTACTCAACCCCTGCTCCTTGTCTTTCCATCCTTCTCCTATCTACTCAACCCCTGCTCCTTGTCCTTCCATCCTTCTCATATCTACTCAACCCCTGCTCCTTGTCCTTCCATCCTTCTCCTATCTACTCAACCCCTGCTCCTTGTCTTTCCATCCTTCTCCATTATATTCAACCCCTTCTTCTTGTCCTTTCTTCCTTCTCCTCTCTACTCAACCCCTACTCCTTGTCTTTCAATTCTTTTTCTTTATAAACAACCCCTGCTCCTTGTCCTTCCATCCTTCTCCTCTCGACACAACCCCTGCTCCTCATTTTGCCATCCATCTCCTCTCTATTGCACTCCTACTCTTTTCCTTTGAATCCTTCTCCTTTATACTCAACCCCTGCTCCTTGTCCTTCAATCCATTTCTTCTCTTCTCAACCCCTGCTATTCGTCTTTCAGCCCTTCTCCTATCTACTCAACCCTTGCTTCTTGTCCTTCCAGCCTTCTCCTCTCTACTCAACTCCTGCTTCATGTCCTTGCATCCATCTCCTCTTTACTCAACCCCTGCCCCTCGTTCTTCCTTCTTTCTCCTCTCTGCTCAACCCCTGCACCTTGTCCTTCCATTCTTCTCCTATCTACTCAACCCCTACTCCCCATCCTTTCATCCATCTCCTTATACTCAACCCCTACTCCTTGTCTTTCAATCCTTCTCCTTTATACAAGCCCTGCTCCTTGTCCTTCTATCCTTCTCCTCTTTACTCAACCCCTGCTATTCATCTTTCAATCTTTCTCCTTTATATTCAACCCCCTACTCCTTTTCCTTTCATCCTTCTCCTCTCTATTCAGCCCCTCCTTCTTGTTCTTTCATCCGTCTTCTCTCTACTCAACCCTTGCTCCTTGTCCTTCAATCCTTCTCCTCTCTATTCAACCCCTACTCCTTGTCCTTCAATCCTTCTCCTCTCTATTCAACTCCTGCTCCTTGTCATTCAATCCTTCTCCTCTCTATTCAACCCTTACTCCTTGTCCTTTCATCCTTCTCTTCTCTACTCAACCCCTGCTCTCTGTCCTTATATCCTTCTCCTCTCTACTCAACTACTGCTTATTGTCCTGTCATCCTTCTCTTCTCTACTCATTGTTGTTCTAAATGGGATTGTGCCTTATCTAGAATTTTTAACGCACCATAATAACTTGGATCCATCTTTATTTCGTGCAATCTAATGTTTATTTTTATAGATTTTGAGAACCATAGACTGAAATTCAGAATTCACATGTAGCCAATTATTATGTTTTCAACATTCCCATTTAAAAGAATTTCCGCTCTGCTTACATAAAACTGTTGCTTAATAAAGTTCCAAAAAAAGTATTTTTAACATTCAAGATGAGAACCGTTTTTCTAAAATACTTGACAAAGAGATATCTAATAGGACTCAATATTTAAATATTTTATATAAACTCCGGTACAGTATTCTAAATAGAATGGTTGAGGCAAGTTTGTTTATTGTGGTTTTGAATATATATTTGTTTATCTCCAGGTTTAGGTTTGATAGTATCCCCGGAGTAAGATAGATGAGACAAGTCCCCGGCTGCGGTTCAGTATTTTCTTCATTTGATTATAAACTTTTTCAGTCTCAAATCTGTTTGTAAACAAGATATAAAATATATTTCTATATGACAAGGAAACCACAAGAACAAATCGTTGTTATATTTAGAAAAGGAAAAGAGGGAGATGGGATGGTAAATAAAAATGGAAATTAAATGATAAATAGATTAAATAAATAAATCATAACATTAAATGACCACTTTTTGATCTCCTTGTCCAATATTTTTAACGACATTTTATCAATATTTGTAGATTTCTATTTGTTAAATCTTAAATATGATCAAATTCTCGGAAAATGTTTTTCATATCTTCGTCAATTTTTAAAATACAAGAACAAGTCAAAACATCGACTTTAGAGCCGCCTCTAAATTTCCATGTTTTTTTTGGGTCACCCTGCAGTCATAAAGACTAAAATAATCCAACGAATGCTTGGTTGGTGAGAAATAAAACGCTATTTGAGAAAATCCTTATTTGGTTTATTTTCATGGCAATATTTATATTGTTATAGCTGTTAATCTTCTTAATCTGGTGATAAATAAAACAGTAAAAGTCGACCCACTCAACTTAAAATCTCAAAACCAAGCTAAGAACATTCCCGTGGTTCTCCCGAGGTCCTCAATAAAAATTTGAGGCAAATCGGTCCAGGAATTTCTGAGTTATAAAATGTCGTCATCCAACTATGAGTTTGGCCCAAGTTTGGCCCACTTTAGTTTATTAACTTTGGCCTCAAACATGGTTGGTTCCACTTAAAATTGTATTGAATGTTTCGAGATCTGCGCTAAATTGGAACCGGGTTTTTGTGGTTCACCGACGCGGTTTAAATTCTCTAAACTCGGCCTCTGGTTTCTTAAGGTTTACGTGGTTATATGATCTTTTATAATCCAACGTACATCCAGTTAAATGAACCTTAATCCTTTCCCTTAATCGAACCTTGTTCCATAATTTAAACCTAGTGTCGTAATCCTGAACCCAGATCCTTAGTCCTGAACCCAGTGTTTTGATCCTGAATCCAGTTCCTGGATCCTCAACCTAGTTCCTTGATCCTAAAATCTAGTTCTTTGATCCTAAACCTAGTTTCTTGATCCTGAACCCAGTTCCTTAGTCAAGAACCAAGTTCTTTTATTATAAACCTAGTTCTTTGAAACTGAACCCAGATACTTTATCCTGAACCTACAGTTCCTTGATTCTGAACCTAGTTCCTTGATCCTAAACCTAGTTCTTTGATTCTGAACCTAGTTTCTTGATCCTGAACCCAGTTCCTTAGTCAAGACTCAAGAACCAAGTTCTTTTATTATAAACCTAGTTCTTTGAAACGGAACCCAGATACTTTTTCCTGAGCCTATAGTTCCTTTATCCTAAACCTAGTTCTTTGATTCTGAACATAGTTCCTTGTTCTTAAATCTGTTAAAGCTAGCTCCTCAATCCTAAATCTACATCTTTGATGATGACCAAGTTCCTTGACCATGAATTCAGTTCTTAGATCCTGTACCTTAGTTCGTTCTTTAACCCTAAACCTAGTTCTTTGATCTGAAACCTATTTCTTTGTTCTTAAACATATTTCAATGGCGAATCTCTTATAGCTTAATTGGATCAAAGGATGGTTCAAACAAAAGAAGGTTTCATCAATCATACGATTATTTTAGATGATATGTACTGTTGTAAAACTTTAAGCGGGCGTCGATTCTTGATTGACTGTAAGTCGGTAGATAAATAGGTTGATGGACTGTAGAGTCAATTAACCTCAATCCTAAACATAATTCTTTGATGCTGAATCAAGTTTCTTGATCCTAAACCTGTTTACATTATTTAGGTAAATATGTTTATATACTTCTTATTTTACGACCTACTGTTAGCATTTTTATTTTATTTTAAGATTTATTTATCATGTATTGTAAGATTTATGTTTTTGTGGTTTTTGGATAATAAAACACGGAAAACCAGGCTCAAATAAAACGATAAGCTCTTTAAAAAGGCAATTAACAAATTTTACAATATCTTTGTCATTGTCAAGGTTTTAAGGTGAAAACATCATGACATCAAGATAAAAAATATAAAAAAAATCCCAAAATGATTTAAATTTGGAAGTTGACCCTCTTCTTTTTTGTATTGGTTTACATATGTAATTTTGATGATTCTTATTTGTGTAAATTAAAAATAGTTTGTTTCTAGCACTGATATTATAAACATGAATTGCATGTTTCAAATAAAATCAAAAATTTAAGTATGTATACATAACTTCAATACACCTTCGGCCCCCATTCTGTCCTAACCACTATGCTCGGGCCATATCCAGGGGCGGATTAAAGCTCCTCAGGGGGGGCCCATAAGATAAAAATATTTCGGCCCCCCCCCTCTAAACAATGAACAAAAAGCATTAATTTCCTATTTCTTATTTCTTATTTGTTCAAAAAATTTAAGTTTACAAACTCCAGTTCTCCTACTTTCTATTTATAAAATTTAGTTCTCCTACTTTCTATCTGTAAACTCCCTAAAATCCGCCCCTGTCCATATCATGTCTTATAACATAACCCAAGCAGTTGGCTGGCAGTATATTTGGTGGCTTGTACCCCTTTGGTAACAATGTAGGGGGTTGAAGGGGGGAGGGGAGTTTGACGAATCGTTTTCTAATAATAAGCCAAGTTATGTGGAGGGGGGCCAGAAAGATTAATATTTCACCCCTCCCCTCCCCCCACACCAATGCTCTGTTAATAATCCTTCTACACCCCTAAACATATTAAGCTCAAACCACCGTACTGCACTAGAAATACAAGGTGGGGGGGGGACAAGTTTGCCCACCTGTAAAACAGGTTTTCTGACCCAGTCAACCGGCGGTCACAATTAACTCCAGTAACACTCCCCCCCGCCGCCTCCCCTCTCCTCCCCAGTCTTAGTATACGCCTGGGTCTATAAATACTGAGCTCCATTCTCTAACAATCATCATTCAAGACTGTTAAATCTAGACGATAACTAATTAAACTCAGCTTTATAATGCCACCTAAGAGTAAGACTACAAGCAAGGCTCCCAAGGTATCTGACGATGGTGCTCCTAAAGAGAAGAAGTTGAACGGTTTGACGAAACCAATGACTCTATCCCCTGAGCTGGCTGCTATTGTTGGAGCGAAGAAAGATGAAAAACTAGCAAGATCTGAAATAGTTAAACGGTTGTGGGCTTATCTCAAGGAGAAAGATCTTAAGGTAAATTGATTTATAGATTTCAGCAAGATTTAATCAGGGACTTTCATACACACCGGGTTTAATTTAGGGGAGAACTTTGATGCACAATGAATTCTAGATGTTCTAAGCTATAAAAAAGCAAATGTAAAGTGTTAAGCTTACTCCCCGCCCCCTCCAATCCTCTGATTTCATACTACGCCCCTGTAACCTTGATTTTACGAGTTCAGCGTATAAGCGTGCAAAAACGATGCAATTTAATGAGCCTTTGATTTAATAAAATAATTNTTTTTTGTTATTTAGGGTTAGGTTAGGTTAATGGGCCGAGCACTGCAGCCACGGGTTAGGTTAAGTTGAGACACTTTCTGTAAGATCCATGTTCAAAATTGATAGGAGGGGGAGGGGTCCAAAAATCATTCTCTTGGAATATATACCAACGTTTGAAATATTAGAACTCCGTGCTGTAAAATAGAATTGTTTAATTATTAAAACAAAAAGAAATTTATCTCCATTGTAATTTTGGTAAAAATTAAATGTTTAGGATCCTGAAAATAAACAGTTCTTCACCCCCGACTCCCTGATGGCTCCTGTATTCGGGACGGATAAGATCCGAGCATTCAGTATGAGTAAGTTTCTGAAAGATCACCTCAGCTGAAATGTATTACATGGAGAACGTGGATGAATTATAATTTTATTTCCTGACCGACAAATATATATTAAAGTACTTATTTCTAGTTTATTTATGTTATGGTAGTGACAGTACATTAATTTCGCCAATTTGAATTTGATACTTCATGAACGTTTATATTCTAGTTTATTTATGTTATGGTAGTGACAGTACATTAATTTCGCCAATTTGAATTTGATACTTCATGAACGTTTATAGTTTTGGATACAATTATTACATAAATACAAAGAGGACAGGCGAATTATTATCTAAATACAAAGAGCGTGGACAGGCGAAATGGTGGTATTGGTTGTGTTTTAATCTTCTATATTTATTAAGTTGTAATCTCGCTTTTTCTATTTGTTTGTCCGATAAAAACTCAATCCCTGGACGCATTTGCCTCAAATTTTGATTGGGAAACTCGGCAGAACCACGGGAATGTTCTTTGCTTGGTTTTGAGATTCTACGGTGAGTAGGTGGACTTTTATCGAGGAAATTTGTTAACATAAAGCATGTTCATTGAGGGAGGGCACGCCATGAGCCTCCGCTATGCAGACACGAGCCTCTCAGAGATGCTAGGCAGTCCAAGCCTCCGCTTTGCAAAAATGAGCATGCGCAACGCATCAAAATGTGCCTGTGTTATACAGGAGGTTTTTTAAACTTGTGTTTTAAGTTTAAATAAAAGATTTTTTTGAAATTTTTACACATAGTGGCATAAGAGGCTTCTCAAAGATGAGAAGTATTAATCAATTATCATAAATGGTGCCTAATTATGACTAATAAAGTGGTATCTAAAACTTAAACATTTTTTACACGAAAAGGAAAATATTTAGAAAAATTTGAATTTCATTTAATCTTTTGTAATCTGTAATTTTAGCGATACCATTTTTTGAAGTTCAAATTAAATCTAAAATATTTGTATTTAATATTTAAATCTTAACATTTTTCAAAAAGGTATTGTTTAAATCAAAGATTACAAAAAAACCAAGTTTACTCCAGAAATATTTCTCCAATTATCTTCCTTTCTGCGCAAGAAATGTTTAAAGTTTTAATATAAATTTTATAAACCACTTTGAGTCCATATATGTTTCTAATCATGACAATTAATGAACAACTCTAATCTTTAGTAAAACTCTTATGCTACTACGTCAAAAACAAATTGTTAAAAGTTTTCATCACTCATAAAAACCAAGATTTAAAAAAGCTGTATAGTATGGTGGAGGCTCGTTTACTTCATAGTCGAGGCTCGGTCTGCCTAGCGAATCTGGGAGGCTCGATGTCTGCATAGCAGAGGCTCATGGCGTCCGGGGGTTCCCTTCCTACCAACTCTCGTTGTAAAATAGTATGTTAAACCACATTTCTGAAAATATATTTCAGTGTAGGTTGACTCTCTCCAGTTCTTCCAACATAATACCTATTAAAATCGATTGAGATTTTTTGCACCCTGTCTTTTCCTATACATAAACACGTATGACCTAAACCAAGCTAATCTTATGTCTTCCAGTCGTCTTGATTGGTAACGTAATATTGTAATATTCAAATTCACCGAATCTATGTAAGAAAGTCCCGGGAAAAAAGTTTCTGGAAAAAAAATCTGGAAATATAGTCTCAGGAAAAAAAGTCCGAGTAAAAGAAAAACCCAGAAAAAAAGTCCTTAAGTCTCGGGAAATTTGAACTCAGTAATTTAAGTCTGTGGGAAAAAAGTCCTAAGAAAAGATGTGTATAAAATCCCCTGTACATGTGTATTATGTACATCATATACAGGGATAGTTTTATTGATAGGATATTTACAACCAGGACTTTTTTTCATTGTGAATCATGCATTTTCACTTGATAGAGGACTTTTTTTCCGAGGACTTTTTTGTATAAAATCATACTGGAGCCAGAAGTCCTAGAAAATTAAGTCTCGAATTGGTAGGGCTTTATTTCCGGAGACTTTTATATAAAGGACTTTTTTTCCACAGGACTTTTTAGTTTGAAATTTTAGGACTTTTTTCCGGAACCTTTTTTTCCAAGGACTTTTTTGGCGGTTACCGTATTGATGTGGATGGTTTGGTTCTGGACCCTTCGTATTATTTTTATTATTTAAACCTCTTGGAGAATTTATTGAGTAAAACTGACACATTTTGAGAAGTAATCTTGTTTACAGAATTTATGATGGAAACCACGTAATTTAATTTGTGGGGAGAAATGTCTGAAAAATAACAGAGAAATCACCTCGTTCTGGAATTCTAAGGAGGAGAAAAAATATAAGGAAATTAGAATATTATTTATTCATCTCGCTTATTGAGTTTTCATTTTTTATTATCCATTTACAGGGTGAACCAATAAACATAGGAATTAAGTGACACTTCTAGGTAGTCTTTCTTCAGAATCAGCAATGATACAGCGCTATTTAACAGTTCTCCAGATCTAAACTTCTGTAAAAATGCTAGTTTTCATTGTATACTTTCTTTCTGTGTTATAATTTTGATTTGGTTTGATTTGAATTCTTAATTTTATCAGTTAAAGTTACGCCTGCTAGAGTCAATTTTATATAAACGGTAAAAGACTGCTTTGTAATTCCGCAAAACATTATGTATGATGTTCTGTAATATTTCTACATGATACATAGTGAAGAGAGACTATATCTACTGCACTTTGTCTTAAGTAGGAATATCTAATTTTACTAAGCACATAACTTCAGCAGACGAAACATTCTCTGAATTACTGCCTAAAAAAATTATATTTCAGAGAGGAATTTTTAATAAAAGTCTTTTTCAATTTAGCATATCCAAAAGGGGAACATTAAGAGCAATAACAAATTTTCAGGACACAGCATTTAAACAGCTTGTTAGCTTTGTTCTTTTATTATGCTAGAAAGAAGAAAATTTATAATTCAGTTATAACATTGTAATTAAATATACGTATATGTTTTTATTTTCTTGCCGTTTTTTAGATCTACACAATATTTAGAAATAAACGTTATTCTTAGTATAATAATTAACTCGGTCTAGCAATGCTTAGTTTACTATTTATGTAAACAAAGATGGTATTAGTATATTATGTGAATTAAATAAACTTCAAGCTTTTATCATTTAGGGACTATACAGGGACTATACAGGGACTATACAGGGGCTATACAGGGTGGGGACATACATTGGAAAGTCAGTCCCCCCCCCCTTCTGTGTCAGTGATATTTATGGTTTGCAGGTATTTTCTGGCCCTGCCCACCCCTTCTCCCAAAGGAAAGATTTTTTAAGCCCCCTGAACACTTGAATGAACCAAAATGATATTTTTAATACGATTGCTATTCATGATAAAGTTCTGCTTTAAATCATGAATTTGGAGAGAAAATACTGTAAAATCGGAAACTGACAAACTTAACATTAAAAAATCGGATTTTTGTACATATGAACTCACTGCATACAATTAAACAAACATATCATAAACTATAAATATTTTTCTGTGAAATCTGCATTTATTTCTATATTAAAAGTCTACTCTTACTTTTAACTTACAACAGTTTTTAAACTATGGAGTGGTAACCAGGAGTCGGAGGAAATATTGTCGCCTTTTTTCTTAACATAAAATAAATCATCAGTTAAAACAATTACAAATTACTCTGCGACAGTGCATATGAAAAGAAAGAAAGGCGACGAAAATCATTCCACTATTTCCTGGTTACCTCTGTATGAGTCCGTAGCTGTTTGTTAAAAAATTTTAATTAGGAAAAGAAATGATGAAACATTGTGTTTCGAGGGTTGAACGTTGAGTCTTGGTAGAGAGCAGGATTGGAGACCATTAACTGTTTGATTTGTATCCTAATGTCAAGATAATGGGGATAATTTTCTATCTGTCGAGAGACCAGGAAGGATATTGAGATTAATGTCCCCGTACTAAACTCTTCCTTATTAGACCTTCATATAGGATACGTTCTTCCAGCTCAACCCTTCTCTACCCTTTCAATAAGCCTTGCCTAGGTTCATCCTGAAGATAAATGCTTGCAAGCTTGGCTTTACATGGTTTCGACCTTTCCGTGCCTTAAGTTCTGTCTATATTATCTTATCGTTTTATCATTTACAAGATCCAATCTTTGCTTATTCTTCCAAGAAGCCCCCTTGTTGCAGGATCCGTCCTTTCATGTTAATCCTTTTCTGGCATGCCCTTTGCAGGATCCGTCCTTTCATGTTAATCCTTTTCTGACATGCCCTTTGCAGGATCCGTCCTTTCATGTTAATCCTTTTCTGACATGCCCTTTGCAGGATCCGTCCTTTCATGTTAATCCTTTTCTGACATGCCCTTTGCAGGAGTTTGTGGCAAAGACTCAACTCCTTTGAAAATTGCTGAATTAAAGAGAGCAAAACGCAATTGAAACTGAAAAACCTAGAAACCTGGTTAATCCAGGGTGTGGTGCTAATAATGTTTTGGCTGGTCTAAAATCTCTTCGTACAAAATATCTAAAGTTACCCTCCGTTTAAAGAGCAATATGTCTGATTGGCAAATGTATACTTTAAACCTTTTTCTAATTAACAATAAGGAAGAAACCCATCGTATTTCTTTCTAATAAAGCGTTAATTTCGAACTATTTTCTTCATGATCTCTGCAGCATAAATCCGCAAGTAACTTTTATACTAAAACCAAAATTAAATAAACAATTTTTAGCCAACAAAACACGGATATCTTAAAATATCTTGATTTGACGAAGGTTTAAAGAGGTACCATTGTGAATCGTACGTTCCTAGCTCTACAATACTTCATGTCTAGTTCTTTATATCTCGTTTCCTTCTGAAGTTCTGAATATCTAATTACGAATTTGAGCGTACACAGAGCTCCCGACGACCCTGCGTCAGTAAACCTTCGCAATGTCAGAACTTACGCCAGTCTTACGCCAACCCTGCGTCAGGAGAAATCACGTGAAACCATTAAATCTTTAGTTTAGAAATAATATATACCAAATTGAAGGGAGAAGGGGGGGACTACGCAATGACTTCGAAGGGTGGCAAGGGGTTGGGGGGCATCAGCTATACTTATTTAGAAAGCTTTCAAATTTTCCGTCGTTATTAAAAGCAACAAATCAAT